AAAAAAAAATTTTACCACTGTTTGATAGAAGAGATTAACAATAAGAATGTCCTCAAAGTAAGTATTTTTTGTTATTATGTCTGGATAGCACATGGTTCAAATATAGGGACAAACTGATTTCATTTCTATATTTTTTACTTCATTCCTTGTACTATTTTGTTCGGTAAAAGTCAATTTATACGTTGGAGAAATGGTCAATTTATACATTGGAGAAATGGTAAATTCATGAGTCTCAAAACTATCGGCACTATTTCTAAGTTATTCTAACTATTACTAAGTTATGGCAAGCTCGAATGCATGACAGAAAATTTCAGCATTTCAGACAATTATTATATCAGTAAATAGAAAAATTTGTCCTTAGAGGAATTATTAAAAATAAATGTAAGTATTAGATTAAATGAGTAAAAGCAATTCCAATATTGGGACTAGATCAACAACAAAAATATCGGGAATTACAAAAGGATAGTTTTCCACAATTAGAGATATCTTGAAAATCTGATTGAATTGCCTATTATGAAACCTTCGCTCAATTTTACGATTTACCGAATACAAAAAATAAAATCGTAATTTGGAAACAGTTGTGGCAAGATAAACCTAATGTAACTGATCTCTCCGCTGTTGATATGTTAAAAGACACGATAGGCTACTATGCATAAGGCTATTTTAGACAATCCTATAGCAACTTGAAACGAATATAGGAACCTGGCTATGAAGTCAGGTACCATGACGAAAAGTCGCCTTAGTACAGTGCTCCTCTAAAAATTCACTAAGAACATAGAAGACTTTTATAAAAAAAGTAGTTTATAAAACAAAACACCCAAGAAGAAGAATATATTTTTGTCTTTTAGTAAAGTATTAAAACAAATTGTATTTTATCTACAGTTCATATTCCCTATCTATCATCAGGCCCCCTCCCCAAAGCATTGGATTTAATTTTTATTTATTAAGAAAATATTTTGTAAAGTACGTGTGAATACCTGTATATATGTTTTCATTTTCAGGGTCTAAATGGCTGTGTATCATATTGGTTATATATGCATCCACCTGGACACTTTCAGAAAGTATTCCAAATAGTAATGCGGCAAAAATAAGCGAAGTTTTTAGATGGAAGTACATAGAATTCGACTATCCTTCCAAAAGTGAAAGGCAAGAGGCAATCGACAATGGAGATTTCATACCGGGACGTTCCCTGCTAATTGACGTAGATGTATATTATGGAAGTAAGTTAATACGTACATTCCTTTTTACAGAGAGATTTTTAACGTCACGGATTAATTAAAAATTAACAAATATCTATCTGTACGGGTGCGAAACTTGGACAGTGAGCGCGGCGGAAAAGAAAAAGTTAGAAGCGTTCGAAATGTGATGTGAATGATGAGGATCACGTGGATAGAGAAGGTTAGAAATGAAGACATTTTAGAAAGAGTCCATGGAAGTCAATAAGACATAGGCGAGATAGGTTCATAGGACACTTAGATATGAAGGTCTAGTCAGATATATTAGAGACAAAAAAAATCGGTTGTCTGTAAAGTCGGTTTACTGACGATAGCAGATAGTGACAACGTCATAAGAAAATACTGATGGAATGGTTTCATTTTTCAAAAGAAAATTTTAATTTTGTCTGATAGATAATTTGTATGGATATAGAGAAGGAGGTAAATGGAAATGTATTATTGTATAGCAGCTGTCTACGCGGACGCATCGCTCACTCGAGTAGGAGAGAGACACATGTCGAACGCTGCCGAACGCGGAGGCCGATTGTGCCTCTTTGTCGCTCGTTCCGCGCTCTCGCTTGCACTTCAAGCCTTAAAGGAACGCCTCAGAGCGAGGTAACGCCGCATGAGTCATGTTTTTTCGAATTACAAGACGTTGTCACGTCAAAACGGAAGTTAGGAGCCGTGAGGTAGACCTAGATTAGATTACTGTTCGTAAATAGTTAAGGGTATGGGTTGTTATAGTTTTACACCGAGCGGCATGGCCTAGAGGTCTAGACCATTGCTTAGCATTCGGGAGGACGCCGGTTCGATTCCGGGTCTGTCCGTCTGCCTTGGTCCAAGTTTTTCTGTGGTTTCCTTGGATCACTTAGGCAAATGCTGAGGCAGTAATATTCCACAGATAATCTTTCACTCTCTTCTGTCTTCATTTCGTCCGTCTCATCTTTCTCACCCGAACCACCACCCACCCATTCCCACGATTCCTGAAA